ACCACGCTGGCCTTGAACTCACAGAGATCTGCCTGCCTCTGCCTCCCAAGTGTTGGGACTACAGGCGTGCACCATCATGCCCAGCCATTTGTAGTTTAAGAGTTCTCCACACTGCTTTCCATAGGGGTTGAACAAGCTTGCAGTCCCACCAGCAGTGGATGAGTGTTCCCCTTTCCCCACATCCTCTCCAACATTTGGTATCATTTGTTCTCTTGATCTTAGCCAGTTTGACTGGAGTAAGAAGAAATCTTAAAGTGGTTTTAATTTGCGTTTCCCTAATTATTAGTGATGTTGAACATCTTTTAAGATGCTTCTTATCCATCTTTACTTCTTCTTTTGAGAACTCTCTGTTCAGCTCCTTAGCTCATCTTTTAATTGGGTTACTTCCTGTCTTGATTCTCTGTTTTTTTAGTTCCTTATATATCCTGGATGTGAAACCTCTGTCAGATGTGTCGCTGGTGAAGATTTTATCCCATTCTGTGAGTTTTTTCTTCACTTCCCTGGTTGCCTCCTTTGATGGTCAGAAGCTTTTTAGTTTAATGAGGTCCAATTTGTTGATTCTTGACCCTGTTTCCTGAGAAATTGATGTCCAGTTTAGAAAATCCTTTCCCACATCTATATCTTGTAGGTTTTTGCCAATGTTTTCTTCTAACAGTTTCAGAGTTTCAGGCTTTACATTGAGGTCTTTGATCCATTTGGAATTGACTTTTGTGCAAGGTGAAAGATAGGGGTTTAGTTTCATTCTTCTACATGTGGAGATCCAGTTTTGCCAGCACCATTTGCTGAACATTCTGTCTTCAGTGAATGTTCTTGGCCCGTTTATCAAATATCAGGTGGCTGAAATTGCATGTACTCATATTTGGGTCTTCAATTTTGTTCCACTGATCTATGGGTCTATTTTTGTGCCAGTACCATGTTGTTCTTATGACTATAGTTCTGTAATACAGCTTAAAATCTGGTATAGTAATCCCCCTGGCATTGCTCTTAGTGCTCACTCAGGGTTGCTTTGGCTATCCGAGGTCTTTTGTGCTTCCATATGAATCTTA